CAACTCGCTATTTAAAGACTTGACTAGGAACCGTAAGGTGTTTACGGCCGTAAAGAGTTTACGGCCGTAAACCCACTTTGCTCATAAACACCGTAAACCCAAAACAAAACACGAATAACTACATTTCTACTGCTATCTATGACTATGCCTAGACCAAACCATTTTACAGGGTCTTTCAACTAACATGACTCATACAAGTCGACACGTTGTTTTTTCACGAAACAATTTTTCCTTCTATCCCATCTAATTTGTCTTCCACTTCTCAAGATACTGTTCATCATGTTACTCTTTCACCACCGCCACCTTCTATATACACTCCAGATTCTCTAATATCATCCATACATGTACCTTCTCCAAGTACCAGAAATAAAGATCACACTCGGACTTCTAAGCAATTCCCAAATCATATTTTATTTCAAGCTACTCACACACCTCCTGATTTTGAGCCCACTACCTATACACAAGCCCAAAAATGGCCAGAATGGTGTGATGCTATGAAGGCAGAAATTTCAGCACTTCATTCCAATCAAACTTGGGTCTTGGTTCCTACACTCCCGAATGCGAATATTGTCGATTGTCGGTGGGTATATAAAATAAAACACAATCCTGATGGAACCGTTAGTCGCTACAAAACCCATTTGGTAGCAAAAGGTTTTCTTCAAACATCGGGTATTGATTATACCGAAACCTTTAGTCCAGTTGTTAAGCCAACTACGATACGACTAGTTCTTTCGGCTGCTTATTCACAAGGTTGGGATGTTTGTCAAATTGATGTCAATAATGCTTTCCTTCACGAGGACTTGACTGAGTCGGTATACATGACTCAACGACCTGGGTTCGTTGATCCTTTGCACCCACATCATGTTTGTCTTCTCAAAAAGGTTTTGCATGGCCTTAAACAAGCACCACGTGCTTGGTTTGCTAAGCTATCTTCTACCTTATTACATCATGGTTTTCGTCAATGTGTGTCAGATACATCACTTTTTGTTTACTGTGTTGACTCTACTATTTGCTATGTTTTGGTATATGTTGATGATATCTTGATTACAAGCAACTCAACTTTATTTACTGCATCTATGGTTCAGAAGTTACATTCTCAATTTGCTCTCAAAGACCTTGGGCACTTGAACTATTTCTTGGGTATTCAGGCTACCTCTCATAGTGATGGGTTATATCTTACTCAACAAAAGTATTTGACTGGTTTATTGACACGGGTTGGTCTTCTTGATTGTCCCGTCTCTCCTGGAAAACAATTGTCTAGATTTTCAGGGATGCCCCTTCCAGATTCGACTCAATATCGCAACACTATTGGAGCTCTACAATATTTGGTTCTTACCCGCCCAGAAATAGCATATGTTGTAAGCAAAGTATCTCAATTTCCTCATACTCCAATAGATAAACGTTAGGTTGTTGTAAAACATATTTTGTGGTACTTAAAAAGGACTCTCACACATGGGCTTCTTATTCGCTGGTCTCTAAATTTCACTTTAAATGCATATTCAGATGTGGATTGGGTCGGATGTCGCGATGATCGACGATCTACCATTCGATATTGTGTATATCTTGGTGGAAACTTGATTTCTTGGAGTTCTAATAAACAGAATATGGTGGCTCGATCTAGTACAGAGGTAGAGTATCGAGCTCTTGCTTCTACTGCCATGGAGATTTGTTGGTTGACTTCTCTAATGCAGGACTTGTATCTTCCTGTTACTTGTTCACCAACTCTTTGGTGTGATAATACTGGTGCAACTTATTTGGCAGCTAATCCTATTTTTCGTCAACGTACCAAACACCTTGAAGTTGATCCTCATTTTATTCGTGATATGGTGATTTTAGGAAAACTTATTGTTCGAAATGTTCCCACAGAAGATCAACTAGCCGATGTTTTAATAAATAGGTTGTCTACATCTCGTTTTCAATGTTTACGATCCAAGCTTCACATTTGTACCAATGTTTTGCTTAAGGGAGCATGTTAAGCATACTAGTGCCATGTCATCAATTACATGTACTTAACTGTTAAGTATTGGTTAGGGAGTTAGTTAGAGTTGTTACGTCTCTTCTAGATCATTCTAACTCCTCTATTGTATAAATAGACGGCAGTGTATTCTTTTCATTTTAAGAAATACATCACAAAACTCTCTCTCTCTCTCTCTCTCTGACTTTACCTTTTTTGAAAATCAAATGAAAAGGTATTGATAATTAGCATAATAAAGGCAACTGCATTCAAGGTGAGATAATTATGGAAATGTCATATAGAATTAGGAGTGAGTGCAACTGTGAAAAAAAAGCACACGTTTGAATTCATAGACCCTCCTCCTTCCCACTTTCCATGTTAAGTCTTTATTTAGTAAGTAAAAAAAAAAAACAAAACAAAACAAACAAACAAACAAACAAACAAAAAAAAAAAAAAAAAAAAAAAACACCCAAATGCATCTGAACATATTAAATGTTGTTAATATTAAGGTCATTAAGTTAAGAAGAAACACCAGCTATATCCTCATTTCAGAACAATAGAATTATGTGTCTTGGGGATGTAGAAGAAGAAGACGAAGGTATTTGAGAAAAGCATATCATAATAGTCAACTGTGGATTATTCAATTGTTCTAAAATTGTTTTTTTTGTGCAGAATAGATTCAGGGGGTGTTTGGATAAATAGTGTTTAGCTTATTAGCTTATTGCTTATTTACTTATTGTAGTGAGAATAAGTATTTTTTTAAAATGTGTTTGGATTAGCTTATTGTAGTGAGAATAAGCAATAAACATTTAAGTGTTTGGTAAAATAAAACAGCTTATATGAATAAAATGATCAATAACCAATAAGCATTCCCCCCTTGCTTATTAAAATCAGCTTATTTTGTTTATTCCTAGTGCAATAAGCTGATTTTTAAAGACTCATATCCAAACACTTAAATTTGCTTATTGCGGTGGGATTAAACAATAAGCAATAAGCAACCTATTTTTTTCCTATCCAAACACCGCCCTCAATTGTTTACCTTATGAGAAAGAGAGCTAGAAGAGGATATAATAAAGAGAAATCTACTGATGCTATTTAGATAACATACAAGCTTAATAGGTTTTAAGGATTTAGTTATCATAAAGTAATTGAATTGTGTTTGGAAAATATGGACCCAAATAAATAAAAGTCTAATTGACAAGTGAAGTAAATACAACCAAGTACCTACCAACTATATCGCTACATGGAATGCTCAATGCTGTGAGGAAACCATATTGGATGTAATAAAAGATTATTCAAGTTTTGCAAAAAGCAAATAAATTATAAGGTGGTTTTTAAAATTTATAAAATACACCTTAAATATTTTATTCTTTCTTGTCTTAAAAAATGGTGTAATGGATTCGAGAAGATTAAGTATTTGTCCCATTTTTTACATGTTTATCAATTTGATATAAAAAAAATAGAGTTATGTATATACTTCTTAATCCATTTAATTAGGATATAACATGATCCCAAAAGTCATGCAAATACTTCTTTTTTAACTCAATACATAAAGAACCAAAAAAAAAAAAATCAAAGAAAACGTATTTTCTTCTCAGTTAGGTCGAAACTTTTTACAAGGCTGTTCTCATTTATGTGATCCTTTTATTTCCCTAATTAAACCATCATTTTATCAAATATTTTTAAACATCATTTCTACAAAAAAACACTTAATACAAAATATACAAAACAGCACTAGTCTACTACCTCGGGCATGAGTTTGTAAAAAAATGGTATAAAGTAACAACTATGAGTTTGAGCCCTTATGAGCCTTAAACTTGTGGGTCATAAATAGCTTTTTGGTTCTGTACTAAAAAACTAGTTGGGAGTTAAAAAACTAATTGACAGCTAGAAAACTAACATAACTACTGATAAGTTAGTTTATAAAAAAAATAACGTTTGGTAAAAACTAATAGATAAACTAACCGAAAAGTGTAAAATGACATAAAATGGCCTATAGAAAAACGCATTTTTATAATTAATAAGGGAAGAGAGAGTCATTCCCTCCCAACCCACTGAAACCCACTGTCACATCAGTTTTTTTTTTCACTTTTCTTCATCTTTCCCAACCCATAACACACGGAAATCCTATTTTTTTCAACACACTCAACCCATTCAATTAAAAAACTATATACAAAGCAATCAAGCTAAAATCTTAATTAGCAATAGAATTACCGCCAGTACCTTTCTCTCTTTGGCGGATTGTTTAATTGATTTCACTAACCCACTTCATTCTTTCTCTCTACTTTCTCTCTCTCATTTTCTATGTACAATATGTTTTAAAACTTGTACCTTAGTTGTTTTGTATTTATTTTTAGTAAATGGGTTAAGAAATATAGGATTTTCATGTGTTGTGAATTAAAAAAGATGAAAAAAAAAAATACAATTTTATATAACAGTAGGTTCAATGGGTTGGAAGAGAATGACTCACTAATCCCTAAAAGCTACATATATGGGAAAGGGAAATCTCCAATAAAATCCCAAAATTTTAACCCAATTTACGTTTTAAGTCAGAAATTAATTTTTGTTTACGAAAAAATCCTAAAAACCAATAAAAGTTAATTTATGACTTTTTCGTAAACAAAAATTAATTTAGGACTAAAACGTAAACTAGCCAAAATTTTATGATTTTATTGGAGATTTCCGTATGAAAATGGGAGAACTTCAAAAAATAATAATAACAATATTGGCTAGTTAAAAAGCTACTTCTAGTAACTTTCAAAAACTATTTTCTTTTTCCTTGTCAACCATAGCAACCTAAAAAAACTCAAATTATAAGGTAACTTATAAGCTAGCTTTAATACGCCAAACATAACCTTAACTTTTTGAGGTTATCATACTATTCTACTACAATAACAGTGTTCCACTATTAACCAAATATCTCAAGTAAAAATGTAAAATTAAAGAAAAAAAATGTAGCAAAAGAGAAGAATGGGAAAGAAAAGAAGTTCAACTAAACACAATAATCAAACATTAATGTTACACAATGGATGCATAAGAACAAACCAACAAGTTGAAATGAGATCAAAATTCATAAAAAAAAAAAAAAAAAGAACCAAAACAGAAATTTCACCTGATTTTTTTAAATTTTTCTCATGAATCTTGAGAGGAAGAAGAAGCTTGTTTAACTCTTCGTTGATGAACATCCCAATTGTACACCCGAGCAATCGTAACCTAATCCACACAAGTAACATCCACATCAGCACCACGTCATCAAATGATACAAAAAAAATAAAAATAAAAAAATCATAATTTAATGAAATGGGTTGTATTAGTATTACCTGTGTAATGGTAACTTGATCTCTTAAGAACTGTAGATCACCAACTAAAACTTCTAAACTTGCTTTTGCATTTTCCAAGTTCTTTTGCAATAGAGATGTAGCCTGTATTAATATTATATTATTAAATTATATTAAATGGGTCAAATTTATAAATATGAAATGGGTCAAAGGTCAAACAAACAGGTCGCATTTACAACCCTCCTAGATCCGATCGCTTTTTGACTATTCATTTTGATGATGTTGTTTAATCATGTTTAACTTGTTACTCATTTACAAAACTAAAGGTAAATTACAATTTTCGTCCTTGTGGTTTGTTGATTTTACAGATATGGTCCCTGAAAAGTATTTTTGTCTCAGTGAAGTGGACACCGTTTATTTTAAGCCCTCAACCTCATGTAAAATGACCATTTTTCCTTATTTTTACTTACTTTATTATTATTATTACTTTTATATAACAATAATAATATGTAGCTGATTTTTTCAATCTTGATCCTCGCAAAAACACTCTCTTGCAATTTTAGTCCTTATTTGATTTTTTGTAACATTTTTGGTCCCCGTTTCAAGTAAAATGACTGTTTTTGTGACCAAAATTGCAAAAACAAGTTACACTCAAGGACCAAAAATGTTACAAGAACCTCAAATAAGGATCAAATTTTGAAGAGAAAACTTTCTGAGACCAAATTTGCAAAAACCAGCTACACTCAGGGACCAAAAATGTAATTTACCCTAACAACAGCAATCATCAATAAAAATTTAAAACTAAATGCAAAATAGTGATTTTAATTTTTACATGTGGTTAAAATGGCGTCCACTTCACAGACCAAAAATGTGCCAAAAATACTTTTCAGGGACGAAAAGGTGAAAAATACTTTTGGAGGGTGGAATATCTGTGAAAACCCACAAACCACAGGGATAAAAAGTGTAATTCACCCAAACTTAAACCTAGAGGAAATATTTAAGAAAAAAATAAGCACCTCTTCACATGAGTATTCCAGCATTACATTTGCTCCCAGCCATAAGCACACAGAATCTGTATTATCAATCCGGGCCCGCGAATAGATGCCTTCAGATACTTCAAAATCTGTAAGAAATGCCTGTAAACAAAAATAAATAAATATTCACAATTCAACGCAAGAAATAGCATCATACTTTTATTTCTTTCTATTACATATTGCTATAATTGGGAAGAATACTTTGTGTACAATGTTGTAGCAGAAATGAACATTTCTCAAAATATCAATCAACCATAGAAAAATTAATCAATCCAAGAAGAAAAAGAAAGGATTTAGTTTTTTTTTTTTTTTTTTTTTTACAATAACTGACCTCATCACTGTCCTTTTTAGCTTGTAAAGTAGCAACAACATCTAAGCACTTTTCAATATCTGGAATCTTTGCCTACAAAGCAGAAAGCAAATATTTATATAGTTTTGATTAAATGAATAATATTGTTCATTTTCAGTTTATAGGTCATTCAGTATGTATATTACCTGAAGATCTCTTTGTTGTGCAAGAAGTTTCATCTCAACCACTTTATATTGCTGAAGCCTGAATATACAAAAAAAAAAAAAAAAAAAAAAAAAGGAATGGAATATGTCAAAGAAACTGGAATCTGTTAAAATAAAAGTTTATTTCTCCATGTTAAGTTTTTAAACTTTTCACATCTAGTTATCCTATATACAACAGGATCAGAAATTGACGTGTAGAATCAATTCATTCTTTTTGTTACAGAATACATTTATCCGAAGGAATTTAGAAATGTAGATACTTCTGTTTGAAGAAAAAAATCAATTTTAGTTCAAATCTATTTCCTGGATTGTTATCCCAAATAAAACACATCGGACATTGTATCTAGCTTAATTAGAAGATTCAAACTGTTGGTTAATCAAAATTTTAACAACGAAACAACGCATTTCTTCATTGACGCTTTGCACACAAAAACCGCTCATAAACCCTAATACGACAGTTGCTGATCTGATCTGAGATTTTCTAGAACGTTGACACAAAGCATAGTAAAATTGAACTATAGAAAACAAGCTTAGATATATGGAATGAAAATGAGAGACCTTTCTTGGAGGAAGGCGAGGGTGGAGTTAACATCAAGACCTAATTGATTCAAATAAGCTTGCACGTCTTTAACAAAAGAAGCCGCGGGTATTCCCCTCCGTTCCGCCACCACTTCACTGTCCGACTGCGGCGGCGATGATGATGTAGCCATTGTCTTCTCCGAGCTCACTGATTCAAATAGAAAGAGTAAAAGGGAGGCTGAGTTATGTTCGAGAGAGGTTTTGATTGATCAAAGAGGCGAGTGAGACATTTTATGTACTTTCCGAAATATAAATATAAAACTAAATTAATATCTTGCTAATATATTATTACTTAGGAAAATAGTCTAATTAACTTTTTAGTTTGTTCACATCTTGTTAAATATTTTTTTTACACATATAGGTAACGAACTTTTTTTAGTGTTAACATATGACCAGCTCTAACATGTTATATTTAGTTATAATGGTCATATGTGAACAAATCTAAAAAATTTGTTACCTAGATATATATAAAAAAAGATAGTTACTTAGATGTGAACAAACCGAAAAGGTAAAAGTAAATTACACGAATGGTCCATGTGATTTGGGTAATTTGTGCGTTTAGTTCCTAAATTATTTTTTAACTCGGATGATCTCTACTGTTTATTACGCACAATAAAAATAAATAGTATGGATCATCCGAGTTAAAAAGTAAGTTATAGACCAAACGCACAAATTACCCAAATAGTAACGCCCTGTTCTAAATTGACTCCTAGTCTGGGGCTGTGGCCCGAACGCCGGTCGTCATAAGGATTATGACTTTTGAAAGGGTAAGATCTAGGCCATTTTGGGTGCGAGTGATGCATTAGAAGTGTTCCGGATGTTCGGTTTGTGTTTTGAGCCTAGGGGTATTTCGGTAAAGTGTCAGTTTGGTCTTTTTGTGGAAAATGGATTTTTGTTCGGAAAGTATTTAGGAAGATATGAGTTTATAGAAGTGTAGGGCTTCTCGTTACCTTTTTGTGGATATAAGGATCGTCGAAAACGGATTTATAACGAAGAAGTTATGGTCTTCGGAAGTTTAGTGGTTTCAGGCTTAGCCGAGTACACTCGACGTACAGAAAGAGTACGGTGGGTGTACTAGTGAAAAAGGCCATACGTTGGGCGTACTGACCAGGATGGTCACGAATGTTCTTCGGAGTACGCTGGGCGTACCATATGAACGTTGGCCATACGCCAATCAGACCTGAACACTATTTTAGGGTCTTGGACCCAATTTAAGCTCCTTATCTCATAACCTAACCCTAATATCTTCAGCCTCCACCCTCTAAACCCTAGAAATCGACCCTTAGCCCTCATTTGAGTGATTTTGGACCTTGGATGGCCATTAGAGGAGTATTTTGGTGTTTTTGAAGAAGAAGGTGTTTAGAGAAGAAGCAAGAGATTGAAGTGAGCTTGTAGATCGAGAGGTTTTACATCAATTCCAGCCTATTGAAGGTATAAAGTTCTCATCTTGGTGCTTCTACATCATAGAACTAGGTTCTCATGGATATTGTCCCTTTTGGTTTCAAGAATGGATTTTTATGATGCAAATCTGTTTCTAGACTTAGGGTTGCCACCCATGAAGTTATTTGAGTCCCTTGAGCAGTAAAGTTGCAATCTTTAAGGCCCATTTTCATCCATGCAAGAGATCTAGCCATTTCCATGAAGATAGTTGTTATTTTTACAAGTTTGATCTCATTTGGTGAGGTGCAAGCCACCAAGTGATCAACTGCATGGGTTAAGAAGGGCTATTGGACTCAGATCTGTAGTTTGGAAGTTGTGTCTTAAAGGATTAAGCAGTTTTGAAGAATATGGCTTATCAGAGGAGTACGTTGGGCGTACACGCAAGTACGCGCAGCGTACAAGCTATGCAAGCTATACGCGCAGCATACAGAAGAGTACGCTCAGCGTACACTCAGACTGTGGACTTTGCATTATTGGGACTCGGTTAGGGGCCAAGCCTTGGGTTAGCAGATGTTGGGTCGTGATGGGCCACCAGGAGACAGTTAAGGGTCTAAGGGCTAGTTTGGGTTTAGGTGGAAAGCCCATTTGAGGAGTTGGGCCCAATTTAGAAAATTGGGCCATTGGAGGACTTTAATGGGCCTTAGTGAGTTTGAAAAGACTAGAAAGGATTGGGCCTCGGTCATGGTCCAATTTAGATCAAAGGGGGTAAATAGTCATTTTACCCTTAGATGGATTCTCAGTTTTTGACTAAGTGTTTATTTTTTGTCATAATAGTCGGGGAGTCGTTGGAACAGTTGACAGAGATACCCTCACCCAAGTTTTCAGCATCCAGTTTGAGAGGTGAGTTTTCCTCCGGTAGGAACGGGTCTAAGGCACCAATGTCGGCATGTTTAGTAGTAGAGTATGTCGGTTTGACTTGATGACTTGACTTGACTCAAGATTGACGATTGTCACAATTTACGCCAATTTTACTCCTAGAGCGAGGAGAAAAGACAAAATAAGACACATCAAGGGCGAGGGCAATGTGATCTAACTCCAAGCGGATAATCACACCCCAACAATTAGCACTTGTTATAGGCCTATTTTGTGTCAAAGTTTAGTTATTTTTTCCCTCATTAAACAATGTTGATATTTCCAGAATATTATCACTAGAATGATGGAGGTCGACTATTTTCAAAAACAATTTAGATGTTTATCATTATTCAAGCTTGTTATCCTTTCAATAAGAGGTTGTGGACATTTACCGATTGATAACAAGGACTGATCATCTACGTCACTTGAGTGAATTCGATGCAAGGATGCAACCATACGCTTTGAAGGCTCATAACCTTTCCCTAAACGTGTCAATCAAACTCAAAGGACTGTTACCTTTTCCCATGACATGAATAAAGGCTTTAAAGGTTCATAACATTTCTCTTGATATCAAAAAATACCTAAGTCCTAAACACCTCGAGGTGACGATCTCGGCTTAACTTAGATGACTAGGGACAGAGTGCAACTCTCATAGGCTCAAGAATTAGAACAAACTCTTAAAGGGTAACTAGAAAACTTTACTTAAAAGTGAATATCCTAATAAATGTGAACCAACCAAGGTCCATAAGAAAAGGCTAGCCAACGCCTTAGCCTAAAAACATAGGCTAACGAATCGAAAAAGGGCAAACCCCGAGATCGCGAGCACGAACTCTCGAGCCAAAACCAAAAAATTTGGTTAAGTATAAATCCTCAAAACACAACTCGAATCAACATAGTAAAGCGACTAAATTGTTGAGCCAAATAACTTCCACCTATAAAAAGAAAGAACTTTTTGAGTCTTAACACCCCACAAAGCAAGTAAGGGTCATTCCTAATCAATTCCTAAGGCCAAAACAAACCTTTGGAAAAAATCACTCCAATGGGAAAAAACATGAACAAACACACCTCATAGGTCAACATTATCCTTTGAGAATAAACCAAACCAATAGACAACATAAACCATCTATGACTAAAGCAACCAAGCTTAAAGAAAAAAATACCACACCACAACTCACATGGGCAAGGTTTGGCCATTCTTTTTTATTTCTTTGATGTATTGTTGATATGTCTAGTCTGATTCGATCGCAACGGAATAAGGGGACTTGATGACGCACAGCTTGTATGACTTTGTCCAGTCCAATGTTATTGTCCGCCTACCAATCACATCCAAGGGGGTGGACTTGTTGATGTCAAGTCCATTAGCATGGCCCATAAAACTCCAGTGCGCCAACCTTGTATGGCGCTCTCCTGGTGCTCGCTTGCCATCCTTATCTGGTACCCCCCCCCTGTGGCCTCACCTGGTGCGTTCCTCCAAGTTGTGTATGGCGCCCCTAGGCAGCCTTGCCCAGCTCCTTGCTAGCTGAGCCCGAATTGGGTTGGCCCAATGCCTGACTTAATCCCATTTGACCTAATTATCCCCTATAAATAGAATGTTTCTTCCTCCATGAGGAAGGAGCTTCTAATCAGCTACTTCACCTTTAGCCTCATGGCCAACCTCACACCCAACACAATCAGGTGGTTCCTTCCGTCCAGGAGGAATCATATCCTTTCACCAACCGATCTAACTTAGTCATCAGATCTTGCTTGACACAGTTCATGGGGCAACTTTAACGAATTTGTTGTGATAGCAGCTAGGTATCTCGTGGGGGACTCACTAGCGGAACCACCTCTAGATCTTCGGTCCATATCCAGGACACCAAGACCCGGCAGCCTGAGCACGTATCACAATAGTAACCATTAAAAAAACTTCAGAAATGATGTTTGCATTGCAAGGAAGGTCATGTAGTAAGTAAGTAGTGTTGTTTATTGTTTGGACCTACCTTTGGTATGTCACACCCCCGACCAGTGGTGAAAACGTCGGGTTGTACGACATCTTATTAATCATAGTCATTGGACAATAGAAAAGTATAACATAACCATGATAGTAGTATTTCTAAAAAACGATTACAGCAATATTCAGAGTTCACAATAATCTAAGTTTCAATTGTCAAGCTACAAAATACAATACTATTCCATAGGAGTAATCAACTTTATATCATGGTTTCTGGGTGTGCAACTTCCATCTCTTGATCCCCTAGAAATACATGCGATTTTGAAAACGTCAATATAATGTTGGTAAGTTCACAGGTTTTAGTGGTTTATATCGAAATTATCATGTATTCTTTTTATAAGCATTTTAAACTTAGTTTACTAGTCAACTTTTTAACCAAAGATAATGTTTTACGTATATAAATGTTATCTTAACTTATATAATTAGGGAAGCACCAATATTCCAAGAGTGTTTTACCGAGTATTGTCTTAGCATTGTACCTTTATCCCAAAAGGTAGATTTTGATCATACATAAGTATTATTTAAGCTTATATAAATAACTGATGAAATTTTATTCCAATATGGTGTTTTACTATATATAAGTTTTATTACTAACTTATTTTAGTATTTTCCCTTTAGGCCTGATGGAGGTGGTGTTGAATTTGAGTCCCCATAATCAAGCGTGTGAGGGCGTATTTCCTCCATCCATCGACGCTTCATCAGACGTCGAAAATAAATATTTAGACAGTTATCACTGCCGTGACTAATGGGGAGTTCCATCCCCAATAACTAATGGGGCCTTCGAAATAATAAATTTAGAGTGATATAAAGTTAAACGAAATAAAACGAGTAAAAATAGACTAAACACAATAAACAAAGGATTTCAAACCAAACATTGTTAATGGGGAAACAAAGAAAGGAGCCGAGCGGGAGCGGGAAACAGGAGAACTTGCACTGAGGAATTTGAGGGAAGA